TACCTGTGCGGGTGAGTTTGATTTTAAAATCCTATCGATTTATTTTCTTATACTATGCACAAGCGATCTGAGTCATGCAATAATTTGTAAAATTTGTCTGAAAATTTTTACAAACCACAACATATCACTAGTTATGTCATTTATTCAGCTCAATTTACAAGATTACAAGCCATGCAAATAACTAATTTTCTGACTCATCTCCCTTATCACATTTATGAACTCATCTCCGGTCATTTGCAGGATCCTCGTATGTGTATCTATATTAAAATTCCAGTGCACTGTTACATTCAGATTTAATGGGACAAAGTTTCACAGCAGAAGATCAACAGTACTGATTCAAAACCACATAAGAGTAATAAACATTAGTCAAAAACTTTCTATTATTAATATCACATACGAGAACAATATTTGCCAGCTGAAGGACTATTGACTTGTTTTGTAGATTTTTTTTAATGATTAGAATTCTTAATCTGTGCAACTATCGTTTAAATAAACATATGTTAAAAATATATTGTAGTTTTGTCCTTTTGAAAACAATATTCAGTGGACTTAAACACTTTTTTGTGGTCTCTGTACTCCTTCAGAGGGTGCGTAGACCATGTGGTTTGACTACTTTTGTGTGATAGTACATAGTAACATTACTGCAGGGATCATTATATGTTACGATGGGTTGATAGCAAGCTGTCAGAAGGTATCATGTGGGTACATAAGTGTGGCCATACAGGCTCATCATCTGAGTGCTGCGTTTAATGTATGCAATGCCTGCATGTGTGTGACATCGATGAAGATATACAAGTTTGTTGATGGAAAGGCAACCGAGTCTTTTGCTCATTTAACGATGCACTAAAATGAACCTTCCATTTGTAGAACGTCTGTAGAATTGCCAGGGTTTCCTTCAGCGGTTTTATGTGGTGGAAGCCGGTCTTATGTCTGATATGTCGTAGTGAGGGGTATGTTTCGCTCTTGTATTCGTGTGTTGTGAACCTTGAGTCTCGTACGTCTGTCCAGAAAAGCTTTCTAATTGTGGTTAAAAAGATGGCAAGCCAGAGCATTCCAGCCCAGCGCAATTCTAACATCTCACTAGTACTTGTACCTTCACAGTACACTACGTCAGACAGCACACAGTCCACCCCACACACCGTAGGAGGGTCTCATATTTAGATTCGGCATCGGAGTGTGTTCAGGTCCCCTTTTGTTTAAGCTGCTCACTCATAGTATGCACAAAACGGACTGAGTGCGTCATGAGGTTTGACTTTGCGAGATTAAAGAGAAACGCCAATCAATGAATACATTATAAATTTGACAATTTACGGATTACAAATCTTAGTAAGCTATATTTAGATTTTTTCTGCAAGACAAGAGAGTGTAAAGAGAGACAGAAAATAGAAATGGAAGAAATGGAAAAGGAGAGAAGAAAGCAATAAGAAATAGGGAATTGAAAAGAGGGTAAAGTTGATAGACTGGACAGAGTGAACTGAGAAATTAAAGCCTATAACTGGGAGAGAGAAAAAGAGAAAGTGGAAAACACGACTATTAAGTAAAGAGAGTGAGAAAGAAAGTAAAGAGGAAAGGGAAACCGAAAAAAAGGAACAAATCATGGAAGAAGAGGTAGGACTGAAATTACATTTATAAATGATAAAGAGGTAGAAAGGGGGAAACATCATGTCAAGATGGAGGAAAGATAAGAAAGCAAGAAAAGAAAAAAAAGGGTGAAGAAGGGAAGAACAGGAATGAGAAGGAGTGTTAATTTGTGATGACAGTCTGGAAGCCCAAAGGGGGGAAAAAAGTCTGTTTCTGACTCTTTCTTTTACTCTTTTGTCCTGCTACCCTTCTTCCATTTCAATGACTTGTTCCCTCATTTCTCCTCCAGTTTTCATGCCTGTTGCTTTCTTTTTGTATATTTATACATTAATTTCTTCTGCATGATCTGTCCGTGCATTTAGTTCCTATATGTTTTCCTTCTTTCCGAGATCTGAGTCCCGAGTGAGGACTATTTAAACGTTCCTATACCTATTACAGGAGTTTGACCTTGCCTGTGGCTGGGTTTTTATGAGTGCTTCTTCCAATGATGTTGTCCGCTGGCATTATCTATCTATTTTGTTCTATGTGCCATTAGTATGCAGTGCTTGTTCGCACTCGAGTAGTAAATAGCTATCATTAATGCAGAGAACGAAAATTGAACATATTCAGTCGACCCTGGATAAACAATTAACACTTTACTGTCTGACATCCATAGAGATCAAAGCCACACGTCCACGTGCAGACTAAAATGGGATAAACAACTCAAACTTGAACAGCTATTCATAAGTTTCAACTCGAGGTTAGAAAGAAATAGCCGAGGCTTCGCTATATCAACCATACGCGCTCACCCGAACTACTGCGAGCTATGGGATAAAAGAGTATAGAAGACTTCAAAGAGTCGAAGGTAAGACCTTTTATCCTGATAGTTGTTCACACTTAACGATGAAATATAAACCTGTACCTTCATGTGGAGTGGAAGTGACGCAAGAGCAAACAACAATAGCTTTGTCCTTCACTGCCAGAAAGAGTTAACTCATCTTTAAATGTCTTGCATTTGTTTGACATATCTCCAAAGGTCATAGACCGGTGGAATTACGTCCTGTGGGGGGTACTTATTACAAACCTTATAACCATCCCAATGGCCACTATCTCTCTTAAGCCTTTATCAAGAGAGAGCCAATAAAAGTTACAACGGACTACACGAACACGCTTCGTCTTAATAGGCCTGATCTGCATCTTATAGTATTACAGAGTTGCCTACCTGGAACTATTTTATATGGGCTATATTTTAAATTTGTCTAGGTCTTGTCAAGCATATTTTAGTCCTAGATCTTCCTGTACAGATATCCCGGTCCAAACATGGACAAAGTGGGAGGCTCCTAAAATCGAAATCGGTATGCATTGCGGTGCTTTTTTTTTTATTTTATTCTTAAGGGCAGCAGCACTGAATAAGATGCGGACATATTGATAAAAACACAGCCAAAGGAGCACAAGTACTCTTGGCTCTAGCAGTGTGTCGGTTGTAACACGTCATGATATTTTATTCTAGAATCCACACCAATTAATTCATTCCGACAAATACTACCCACAGCAATCCCTCTCGATGGGAGGTAATGTAGAAAACACTTCCACCACCCACCAACACTCCAATACAACAAAACCCACACCCACACCAAAAACAAAGACAAATTCCAAAAAACAACTACCACAATAAAACCTAAAAAACATCAAAACACATTGGAGAATCAACAGACACAAACACCTAATAGACAACCGACCATCAAATACAGGAAGTACACAGGACGAACTACGACCCAGTTGAACGCACAAAACACAAACAAACCAAAAACAGAACCAAACACAAAACCAACATCAAACACACTCCACCAACAACAACAGAACAAACGAACAGGAAACACAAACAACACAAAAAACAAACATCACAAGAAAAACGCTCACCAGACACAACATAGTGGCCAACTTCCTGGGGACATTAACTTTATAATAAAAAAGGAACAGAAAAGGAAAGGAAAGAAAAGAAAAAGAAAAAAAAACTAGGGGTAGAGCAGCAGGGGCTTTCTAGCAGTGTGCTTGTAACTCTGGATAATTTACTAATAACAATTTTCATTGCAAATGTAGGCATTGATGGATTATGTAGTAACACTGGGACGTTGTTATATAGCGGTGTTTAATTATTTCTATTGCATGCTTTCATTTCTGCCAAAGAAACAGTTCATTTAAAGTGACATTAAATAAGTTTTTTTGCATTAACTTATAATTGTGAGGTATAAAAGTTGATTGCACCATGTAATTGCTGTAGAATAATGACGTCGTTGTCCTTATGATTGGTTCGCTATAAGCCTAACTTTCACTCTGCAGTTCTATCTGCCCGCAGGTAAGAGGCCTTCTGGGATAAAGGCACAAATAAATGAGTGTCCTCTGTTGGCACTGGAGATGTTTATAGCATATGTTCAGTCAGCTGATATGAACATGCATCTGCCATCATTTAAAACTCTGAAGAATGCAGAAAACATGACGTGATGTAAGTTTTCTGAAAACACACAAAGCATCTCTCCCATTGCAACAAATACGGGATGTGAATTTGCAGAATCTGTAAGCAAGAGACAAGATTTTTGGTGTTGGAATCATTCCAGTTTCGATTTGTAGTCCAGGTGTGGTGCATTTAATATTGACCAGTCACAACTGAGCCGACTCTTCATACATACAGGTGCACAGTCCCTGTGGAGTGCAACAGAGGGAAACTGTTGTTGCTCCTGCTATTTTTAAGCTCTTACATATTTTTCTTCATTGACTATCCAGATATTCTAACTACACTGCAACCCCCAAAACATTGATTGTGTTCCCCAGAGCTAACTTATCAGATGGTATTGTATGGATTTTTTAACTCTCACTAACCCCTACTGCAATCACATATTTTCATTTTACAGCTATTGTAAAACCATTTTATGTGTAAAGGAGTGTTTCCTATTTTTATCATTTTGGACTTCAACCCTCATTGGAGCAGGTGCAGCTATCATTTTGACAAAGAAACAGAGCCACCAGATACAGAATTGAAGAGAATTACAGCTTTATTCTTGCCTTATTCAGATTCTCACAGTTGGACTGTTGTGTGTTGCCACTAGAGGAGGTCAGCTAATCCCCTGAGTGTGTGTGTGTGTGTGCGTGCTCCTTGTTTGTGTGTGTGTAACATTTACCTGCCAAATTCTTGTCGTTATCCTTCTGTAGGAAAAAGGAAAATGACTAAGTATATGGACAAAAAGAGGATGTTCACTGAAAAAGTGTGTGAGAGGCAAAATGCCCACAGAGAGACAGCAGAGATCTGGAAAAACAACAAGAGGAGTGAAGTGAATAGAGATGGATGGTAATAGAAGAGGAAAATTTGTTGATGTCAGTTATAAAAATGCCCAACATATCCAGTCCTCAGAGTGTCTGCTCCTCTCTCTTTGTCTCCTCAACAGGATCATTTGTAGTGAATGTGACTCAGACCTCCTATCAGGCCGAGGAGAACCACAACATCACACTGGAGTGGACGTTCACAGTAGAAACAGGCAGATATCTAAACATCTACTGTGAACTGATAACTGATGATAAACTCTCACTCCTGTATCATGTCCATAATGGTGCTGAAGTCTCAGAGTCTCAGGATGAAAAGTTTTCAGGACGAGTTCAGAGTGACAAAGACGCCCTCAGAGAAGGACGAATCAGACTCCAGCTGTGTAGACTCAGGACTGAGGACTCGGGTCAATACAAGTGTCAAGTAAACACAGATTATGGTCTCAGCTCTGCGAGCTGCAGACTCAACGTCACTGGTAAGTTTTAACAAGTCAAAACT